ACTAATCAGTGTGAAGGGCTCACTGTTTGATTCGGACACTTGCTTCTTGCTGAAGAACCTTAAAAACCTCATGTGATTCTTCCATGTAATTTATTCCTGCAAGCCTGCAGAAAGCACAGATTTATTAGCAGGTAGTAGCAGTGCAGATGCTCAAGGAAAAGCCATCCTAACTTCAAAGTGATTTTTCAGAAGTACATTTACCTCCCCAGGCACATATATGGCCCTTCATGCCATGGAAACTGAGTGTTGCCGGCGTATTATGTTCTGCCTTACCATGGGAACACTGTTTCGAAGACATTTTATTTAACCAGGCTTTTAGCACATCCATTTTGATTTACATCCAAATGGGCCACAGGCATCAATGCAGTATTATATGGAGAGAAAAAGGGAATGAAATGCTTTTAACATGAAAAATATGCTGTTGCATGTAAGGCCAACTTTTGTTCTCTTTCAATTTACCTAGGATTTGGGTGGGTTTAATTCTAGGCCCAAATTCAGGACTGGCTTAAGTGAGCACAACTCCATTAGTGCAGTTGGGATCTCAGTGTTTTTGTCAACAGTGAGCTTTGACCATTGAATTTTTCCCATGTTTGGGCTTGCATGTTTCCTGCAAGATAATATACACATGTACTAGCACATATGCTGCACATATGTACATAAAAATTCACTGGGGAGGACATTTGGCTCTGTGCTCTGTGTTTGGTTTTACATATAGAAACTGTGATCAGCTCATGAAGCTTTTGCTTCTCCTGTAGCTAACGTGCCATGCATCTGTAAGGATCAGCCATGCAGAATGCCACATTGGGAGTAAAATACCTAGTAGCAAAGGCAAATGTGAAAATTGCTTTTCTTTCTTCGGTCTGCAGGGCTGCACATGCACACAAATCCATGTGATTAATTTGGAGAGATTTTTCCTCCCCTCTGTTATCACAAAGTTGAACACTGCCTCGAACAGAGGGTTATGTGGAAATACTGCAGATGCTTATCACTGGAGTGAATTGTAATATTTACTCAGCTGCAGGCCTCAAGTTTAGCGTATGCCATGAGGTCTGCTTGCCTCTTAGTGCCTGAAGAATAGCAAGGCCAAGGTAGAGATACCTCTTGCTCTGCGATGCTTCCTATAGCACTTGGGATGTTGATCTGGTCATCAGGTTTGAGAGAGAGGCAAGTGTTGTACTTTCCCAGTATATCATGGAGTCATAGAATATATCTGAATGTAGACCAAGACCCCACTAGATTGAAAGGCCTTTGGTATATCCTAAGAGTGACTTTTCCAGGGCACCTCCTACCCAGCAAAATGAGCATCCTTGTATTCTCAGTATCAAAAGAGCTAAACAACATTTGCAGTGAGAAGTAGAGGGCACAGGCCTATGTGACAGCATGAAATGGGATCGTCAGGAAGAAAAGTAAGGCTCTGCCCACATATAAAATTTGACCCTTCTCTGTGAACATTATCCCTGTGAATAATTGGAAATCTGCATTCAGGCTTCCCACTGTGTCCCATCCCTTGAGGACGCACCCGTTGGATTGCTTTACATGGTGCGGCGATGCACGGCGAGATTTACATATATATCACATAAAAGTGTTTACAATAAAAATTAGCATGTGATTGAGCTGGGAAGCTGCAGAGGGCCCCAACTCTATGAGTTTCCATGCACTTCAGCCAGAAGATTTATTTCCAATTTGTTATTCATAAGGGAAGAGCGAGAGATTGGGATGGGGTCCTTTGAAGTGGAAAACAAAGTCTTCTATTCAGCCTTCAGCTTAATAGAATACACATGACACAGGCTTGGCATGGCGGCCCGCTTTCATGTAATGTGCTCCTTGTCATTTTGCTTTCCTAGGCTGAGAATACTAGTGGGAATGGGTATTTCCCTGGAAAAGTCTCATTACCTCCTGCAGCCTTCTGCAGGAGGAGCACAGTGTAAGCAGGTAGGAGCCATTTGGGGATGGGGAAACGAGGCTTATCCAGTTGCTGCAGTTGTGTTGCTTATAATTCCCAGTTTCATATCGCAAGAGCATATGTAGAAAAAGCAGTGTAGTTGCAGGGATTCTGCAGTGCTGCTGCCCTTTGTGGAGGCCCTAAGCAGGGAGCCAGGACCTATGGGCTGCCTGACCTGAGCTGTCACCTGGAGTGCAAGGCTCTACTGAATCTGTGCAGCATCTAGGATGGCAGAGCATTATCTATGCACTGTATCACTGCACATAACCATCAATTCTGTCCGAAGTCGGTGTTCTGTGGAAGATATGTATGTGAAGCCTGTATTTCTTTCCAGGAACAAGGCTCTAGTTTTACAGTGCTCAGGCCTCTAATGACTTCTGTGCTTTGCTCTGGGTTAGTAGCATTAAAAAACCATGCTTGGTGCAGCACAGAGGCGAGTGTTTGTGAAGAACTTACAAGCCCAACTTACCACAAAGCCCTGTCAATTAGCGGGTCTGTGGGCTCTGAGAGGAAACACGTGTGGCCTTCAGCACATCAGCTTGGCCCGTAGCATGAGTGTGGTTAGAAAGAATTTGGACTGGAGTCCTGCCGGTCCTCTTGGCCTTGTGACACTTGTTCCTCCCAGCTTCCTTTAGGATGATGTCCTCATGCCCCACTTCTCTCTCGCTCTTCTGCATGTTCAGGTTTGGAGCTCGGGTGAATCACCAAAGTCAGAGATGGAAAGAAATGCATGAAGTCATCTCATCCTGCCCTTGCCAGCGCAGGATTATTCCCCACAGTACAGTCTCGAGTGCCTTCTCCAGTCTATTTTTAAATGACTCAAAAGGAGAGGGCTTTCCTCTCCTCCCTGGGGAGGCTGGCCCCACTCTTCAGTAGACCTCACTGTTGGGGAATTTTCTTCCTGTTCTCCATCCAGCCTCAATTCTCCTTTTCCCTAATTTAATTGAGCTGTTCCTGGCTCCACCCTTCTACACAATTTTCCGTATTGCATGACTGTTGCAAATACCTGTTGTCAATTTGCAGGCAGTAACAGATGGGAATTCATCACCATTTGCCTGCCTTGGCAAAGGCTCTTTGTTGCAGAACTGTACTGGGAAGCCAGCCTTTATCAGAAACTAGATTTCAGAGCTACGTGCCAAGAATTAAGAATGACCTTTTCCTGCTTCTTTGGACAATGCCATTAGCATAAAACCCCATCATAACTGAGAATAGTTTGGGCTTCTGGCAAAGCCATGAATGTCTGTATTAACGTGCTGGTTTTCCTCCCAGCAGATCTTCCATAGTGATTTTTTTGCATGACAGAAGTAGCTGTTCTGAGTTCTCGGATTTAGCTGTAGGTGTACACATGCTTGGGGAACATTTAATGAAAAAATACACTAATTCTGTTTGTATGAGGTGCCTCCAGCAGTTAGATTTCTAAACCTTGACCTTAAAATTGAGGGGTTTTTAAACACCTGAAGTGTTTTGAAAATGGGTTTTGAAGGTGGGATTTATGCTTTGACAATACCTAGATGCTTTGGAAGGGAGCACCTTTTGGGAAGATGTGTCCTTCATCCAGCAGGACTGAGCTGCAGGAAAACTGCGTGTCCAAAAAGTATAAGTTATTCCAGAAAACCATCTTTTGGGTTTGAATAATTACGAATCCCTATTTATTTACTTATGAGATGAAAATCAGTTTCTGCTGTGGGTGACAGCAGAATAGAAACCCATACTGCAAACACCCGGAAGAGTGGCTAGCATTAAAGAGACTGAAATCCCTTTAGTGCTTTCGTGCAGCAGAGCTGCAGCTATTTAGCTATGGCAGGATACCAAACAACATTGTGGCAGGCCATTGTTGCTTGAACAGTTTGATTTTTAAAACATTCAACTCAAATACAACCACCAGCCAAGCTGGAAGAAGCGAGCCACAGGGACAGCGCGTTAAATGAAGAGTCAGCAAACGAAGGCAACGAGTTCTCATGCCCCAGTGGAAAGTGGCTGCATTGCAGACCAGGAGCCTGAGAGCAACATTTCAGCCTAGCACAGCTATAGGGCTGCTTTTAAGGAAGTGTTATAGCATGGAAGTAATATGGCTTTAAAAGGAATGAGATATGCCACAGCTATAAAATGAGATTACTGATTTCTCTGTGGTAGACCTGAGGAGGGCCATGAATCCCACTGCTTTTTCCTCAGCACTGGTCCTCACATCATAAAGCAGAAGCCTCTCCTCCAGAGAACTTCCAGTGTTAAGCATGTCAGGAGATGGGAGGGAGGTGGTGGAGCGGAGCGGAGGAGGAGAGAACAAAGTGGCATAATAAAAACCATCCCGGCACACATCAGCCTTCGTTGCTGATACTGATCGGACACATCAAACTGCTGTGATTCTTGATAGCTGTTTTTCAGAAGGCACTGTTCTTGATGGTTTTAAATGTGCATGTTTAAATGGTGCTGTGAGTTAATGGATTGGAGCATGGTGTGTGGGAGCAGCAGGGAGGAGAAGGGTGTGTGGTCCCTAGTGACGCCAAGTGAAAAACAGAGACACACCTGCTTTGGGATGTAATGGGAGTGATAAGAGTAATTTCTTAATGATGGGGAGTTTTGGGGACTGGGAGGGGAAGCGTCGGTTTGACAAACGTAGGGGGGCAAACAGGACATGTCTCGCTGTGCTGGGGACTGTTCATTTTAAATGGGAGCGTTTGGTACATCTGGGCTGAACTGATACTGGTTCTTGCATGCTGCCCCCCCTGCTCAGTGTTTTGCTTTGCACTGTTTTATCTGCCAAAAAGACAATAAATTCACAACATATTTGCAAAGCTGCATGGCCACAGGCTTAAATACATACATATGAAATCCCTGAAAGCAATTTGCTTCAAGCCTTCCTCGGTTCCAGACATCTTTCTCGCTCCATCTGCTCGTTCAAGTACACAAGTTCCTTGGGAAAAATCACTTATTACATCACTGAAAAATGCCACAAAAATAGCTTTTCACTTAAGTTCCCATCCTCAGACTTAACTCACATGGGGATCAGATAGATTCAAACGTTTAATAACTTTTTATTTTCCTTTCTCTTTAAACACAGGATCTCTGGTCATGGAAGCAGGGTCACGTGGTGGATTCTTGGCAGTCAGCAGTCTGTGGAGCTTTTGCAGGTGCAAAGGATTATATGTTACACTGGGAAAGACTAAAGAAGAAAGGGAAAAATGTGCAAATCTATTAAGTACAGCAGAACAACATTCCTTTGTAATTCAAGTTTGTTTAGAAGAAAACGGATCCAGTTGTTGTTTGGAAATAGAAAAGTCAGCAAAGGAAAGAGGGGGGGGGGAAAGACTCAAACAGGGTGTCTGTTTGAAAGACAAGCAATTTGTTTTTGACAAATTTCTGTTCTTTAAGAACCAGGGGCTTGTCACTCAGGCTTTGTCATTATTTCAAAGTTGATTTGTCAAATCCTCATCCAGGAGAAACTTTTCCTTGGGTGGGGGTTTGTGCAGCTGTTTGCACCGAGCACTTCCCCAGGGGTTGAAGTGATTGCAGTGAGAGGCCATGATTCACCATTCATGTGACAGCTCTGACAGCCATGTAGATTAACTAGAGCCAGGAGAGCAGAGGCTAGTGCTGCACAGCCCGCAGGCTAAAGCCTTCCACAGCAGAGAGGGGGGAAGAAACCCAACATCGCAGGACGAAACATCTGGGCAATCTCCAGACACTAGAGCAAGAATAAAGAGTGGCAGAACACAATACTGCACTATTTGTTACCAAACAAGCCAGAAGTTAATTGAATTCTTCAGTAGGCTTCTTGCTTGATTTTAGCCTACTGTAGTTGTTTCAAAAAGAAAGCAATTAATGACTCATCAGTAGAGCTGACAAGTTTGAGGGAGGAGAGACGCAACTGTCTAATAGAAAAAACAGATTAGTAAAGAGATGGATAGCCCGAGCTATTCCCCAAGGAGCTAAAATACATTTTGAGATTCCAAACCAGTAACAGACTCTGTGGAAAAAAAATAAATCCTGTTTAAAGAGAAATTATAGCATTTCTTGAAATAGAGACTATCAAAAGCAAAGCTTGTTCTTTGATAACTTGTAAAATTAGAGCCATTACATCGTATGTAAGGTTTTTTTAAACAAGCTCTGTTAGGGGAATTGCAGTATTAATAGCAGCAGGATTCCAGCAGAGACTGAAGCTTCCTTTTGATGGGTGCTGTAACTGCATGACTGAGAGAAGAAAGCATGACTGTAGCTGCACATGGTTTAGCAGATCGTGCACATGGGCTGCGTTGGAATGGTTTAGGTAGAGTTGATTCCATTATGGAGCTGAGGGGGTATTTTAGATAACCTCTTGTGGTCTTGTCCAGCTGTATTTTCTCTGTTTATGTGATGGAAAAGGAGTTTTATTCTGCTTAAAATCTGGTCTGCTGTTGGGTTTTACACTGACTTCATCAAATCAGTGCAAACAAAATCGGAGTGATTGAAGCAGGTTGTTCGTTTTTGGTTTGAAACTAACCAAGCTATCAGACTAAAAATGCTTTAAAATGCAATCTGTATGTCTGCAGGTGTGATGGGGATCATTAATTTAGCTCTGTTGATTTCTTTACAGTCAGATTGATACAAAAACTGTGTTCAGGCGTGTTCAGAGAGCTTGAAAGGTTATCTGATTTACCCAAGGCCTTGCAGAGTAATTTCCTGAAGTCCAATTTGGTGCCTTGACTGGATATCTAGCCCAGTGCCCCCACTTCCTTCTCTGTATGTCTTGATTCTGACCGGTTACGTTTGGACTTGCTGCTATTTGATGGATGTTCAGTAGTGTCTGCTCACTTTCTAGCAGAAGTGTTACAAGAAGGAGCTTCCAGAGGCATGGTTGTGCATGAACACTTCACTCCCCTTTGGCAGATGCTGGCGAGACCTGGCACTTTGTGCTGAATGAGACACTGGGTCCTCCTGGAGCACAGACACTTCCAGGTCCGTGGTAGTAGTGGTGAGACAGTTCAGCATAGGGGTCTTCATAGGCGCTCTACTCCCCAACCACAGGTCTTCGCAGAGCTGGAGTCCTATTTTGTAGATCATGTTGTAATTGATGATAAATATTCTCTGGGTTATTCTTCCAACTTCACTTCCTCCAGCCTGCTTTTCCTTCTCTGTTCTTTGTTTCCCTTTTCTTCTCTCTTCACAGTATTTTAAACCTCTTTTCTCACATGTCCTTTGAGGACCTGCTTCAAAACTCATGAGGTTCAACTCATTTTGCATCAGAACCTTCCCGTTCCATCTCCATTGCCTCCCTCTGTAGACATGTAACAGGCAGGCCCTGTGTTGATGTAGTCTGGTACCACATCCATTCAATTTCACTGCAAGTATTTAGCCTCTTTGGTGAGTGGAGGCAGTGGAAAAGTAATTTCCTGCTTTCTGAAGAATGGATTCCATGGTTAAAAATTGACTACCTACACAGAGCTTCAAATGAGGGAAGAAAAACCAGACCGAACTCTTTATCCCTTTCTTTCCACCTCAAAACCTCACCAGTACCCCGTGAATATAATAAGATGGATATGTGCATCTGAGTGATTTAAAATCGTCATGTTCTAAACCTTAAAAGGAGAAGTTTATCCAAAACCCTATCTTTAAATGAAGAGATGCTGTCAAATGCCACCATGATGGTAGTGGGATGGAGAAATCACACAGACATGCTTTTCTCCTATATGTTTTGCTTGAATTCAGTGCTTTCTAAAAATATGTTAGAGGTCTTGAGGGGCAGGGTAATGAGCTGAAACAACCTGAAAGAAAAGGCCTGTTTGGCTTCCCATTATGGCACACACATATGTGTGTCTGTGTTGGTTAGTTCTCAGCTAAATCATCATTGATTATTTGGCGAAGACAGAACAAAGAACAACAATAGATTGGATACCATCCTCAGTGCCTGTGAAATGGCAGTGATTTGAGCCAAAGTGCTGTGAGGGGCTCGCCTCTCCCTTGTTGAGCACACATGTGTAAGATGTGTGTATGTGATCCATGGGCTTTTTATAGAAACCTAATAGGCACGAGCATAAATATCAGAGATTTGGAATCCTCTCTGTCTCGTCTGTTAATAATTTAATCCCAGGAGGCTGTGTCCGACTCTGTGTTCATCTCTGGTGTCTTAACTAGAGGAGATGTTTGGACCAGTGGGGGAGTGAGAGAAGCTGATACCTGAGCAGCCGGTGGAGAGGAACCCAAGGGTAGATTTTAAGCCTGAGGTTGCGTTTGAAACAAACCTTGCCTGATGTTTGGACACTAGCCCAGATTTGGGCACAGGCTTTAGCAGGCTGGAGTCAAAGGAAAGAAGCACATTCCCATGCTGTGGGCAGGCCAGGCGTGATTGTGGTTGCATTCCATGCTCAAGTCTTCTCTGAGCTTAGGCTGCTGGGCTGGACCACTGCACCACAGCCCAGCACTGTACCAGTACAGGCCATCCCAGAGCAGCTTCTGGGTGGGTTTTAGGTGTCCTCCATGGCAGTGAGCTGGTGGCAAGGAAATCCTGCCATCGGGTATTAGCTGTTGGGAAAGCAAAGCACTGCCTCATACCAGTGAGGTGATCTCCAACGGGTCAAAGAACCTGAGTGTCCATTTAATGTGATTGAAAATTGCCTTTGTTAAAGACACCCTCTTTCTCCCTACTGTAAAAAAATAGTATGGCTTAACATTAATAATTAATGCTCTGTGGTGACAAAGTCACCAAGAATGGAGGAGCAAGGCTAGTGAATAATAGAGCACTAACGACAGCTTTTTGCACATTAACAGGGGAAGACTTCCTATCACTTTTGTTCTGACCTAATTGGCTCTGACAAGATTACACACTGTGTCTAAAAACCCCTTTAGCTCCATAGCTCTGAATGAATGTTTGGCTGGTTCTCAGGATTTCCCCGCAGTGTCTGGTTGGACCATGTTTCTAACCCTGAATTGGTTAAATCACTGGAGGGGCAGTGCTTTCTCTCTTGGCATTTCTGTTGAAATCCAAAGGGGTTCTTGGGTCACTTTGCTCTCCCATTTGCAGGTGTTGTTCCCACAGTGAGAAAGGACCAGAATAAACTTCCTCTTAAAAAAAATTAACATAATATCAATAAAATAAAGGTTTAAATAAGAAACTGATTAATTGAAGAGTTCTGAAAAAGACTGTTTGTGGACTTGGAAATCACTCAGTGTGAGAGGATGCTGTGAGGTTTAGTGCTGGACCTATGTGACACTGGTTTTCAACCTGGATTTGGGATTCAATCCTGAATCAGTGCTGGATAACCTACAGATGTCAGTAGAGAAGATAGCAATGAAGACAGGCAATAAATACAGCTTAACGTGGATTTTTTTTCTTTTCCTAAGGTGAGCTATTTCATCAAAGACATTAGTCAAGCACACGTGTCTGTGTCTTGAAACAAGCTTGACCTGCTGAGCTGGGCTGGTGTTGCAGAAGAGAGTGGCAGGGGTCTGGCCAGGTAACAGAAACACAGAATCAGGAGGAGCCCCTGTGATGACCAGAAGGGTTCCCTGGACCCTTTAGAAGCGGTGAGGGAATGCTAAAATGGTACAAGAAAATGATACGGGAACTGAAGAAGAACTTATCTTCCTCCCTTCATAGGGTCTTACTTGAGGAGTGTGTCAAGGAACCTGTGAAACATTCTCCTGTAGCAGCAGCAGATCCTGCAGGCAGCCACTTACTGTGAGGACCTAGGGCTATTTAATGTTCTCAGGTGAAGTATTTCACTCTGTTCTGGTGCTTCCCAAGTTTTATTTGTGTATGACAGCTAAAAAGAGTAGGAAATGCCAACTTGAACCTAGGAGGATATTGAGACTATTGGAAATACAGGTAAGTCATTCTCTGCAGATGTCTGTCACTAGCACATCTGTCAAGGACTGCTCACTGGGCACGTGTGAGTAGCAGAGAGATTTTCTGTTTAACACCCTGAGCTTGGTGAAGTTTAGCTGCTCAGCTGATGTGTGAATACATACAGTGTCCATTGTAACTTCATGGGATATAACTTCAGGTGATGAATTTTCCACTACTATGTGAAGGTTTATTTTCCCAGTAAAGCAGTTTGTCACTCTGTAGAAGTGTTAACAAGGCAAGAGCCTTCTCCCATGTGTAAATCCATCTTTATGCCTACTTGCATGAGCCCAAGTCATCACCAGACCCTGCTAGGGCAAGGGAGAAGGGAGCCTTCTCCAGGAGTGAGCTAGTGAGTGTGTCGGGATGCAGACTGCCTGTGAAGGTGCTGTTTTCTCTGTCAGCTCTGCAGAGGAGCTGGAATGATGAGGAGTGTAAGGCTGGATGTGTTTGGGCCTTTCTTGTTCGATACCTAATATGTTGATACCGGCTTTTCCTGGTGGCTGACTAGTTGAGCAGATTCCAGCCTCATGTGG